AGAACATCGGTTTCAGTCATAGTTTCATTGCAATGATTACAATCTCCTCTGCTCATCATTCAGCAGTATTTGCTTCTATTCCATGGTTTTTTTGGGGGAAGAGGGATGTACACAAAAACACTCAGGAATATATAATAATTTAAACAACCAAAGGGCGCATTCTGCAAGCCTGCCTCCTGGCTAACAGCACATAACTGTTCTCTTTCCATGAGTCTAGTGTCCTCACCTGCTGTCTCTCCATGTCCTCATCTCTGCCTCCATTTCTGGTGTCGCTGCTTTTCTGGATAGGGTCCTGCACTCTGCTTGTGCTCTTGATGGTCCTAGGGTCCTCTGTTCCTGGACTGTAAGATTAACTACTCCACCATCTTTGTTACAAAACTTCTACCTTTAACAGTTGTGATAGTCTCAATTAGTCATGATAACAATTACTCATGATTGAATCGTAAGAATCTTATCACCATCTCCTTTCACCAGACCCATCTAGACAAGATGAAAACTATTCAGTAGGGATTCTATCTTCCCACACACATTTTGAAACTAAACTCCCTTTTGAAAACTTGTAAGCCAGTCACTTCATGCCTTTTTAGCTTCCCCTCCCACCCACCCACCCACCCATTTTAGGTAGCCAATGTCTAAGTAGCCCGTCCCTATCTACCTTGTATAATGAGGGGATAGGATTGATACTTGATGTGAAGACTCTTTCTCTCAGTTGGTATAGGTCAAGTTCATCAAATTGTTTGCTAACTGATTTTTAAACTTTTAATTTACTTTGTCTTAAGTATTATGGACAGGAGTAGGCTATCCAGGAATAGATTTGCATATGCTATTAACATCTGGATGTTGCTGTTACGTGCTATTGAGTCAGTTCTGACTCACAGTAACCCTGTATAGGGTTTCTGAGGAGTGGCTAGTGGGTTTGACTCATCAACCCTGTGGGATCTTGCAGTTAGCAGTCCAGAGCTCATCCTACAGCAACACAACAGAACATAAAACATAAAATATTCTCAGTAGATATTCAAAGGCAGTTTTTCTTAGGAGCATACACTCTCTTTACTTCATGAATTCATATTTTTCGATGAGATTTTTGTCTGTTTTCTCATGTATTACTTTCTTTGTCAAATTGAGTTATATTAAACTTTTAGAGATAGAATAATCATGCTTAAGTAAACAGTGCAATAATGAATAGTTTATCTTTTTTGCTTTTTAAATTTACAATCTTTTTGGAATATAGGTGACAGCAACTAAAGGAAATACCATACTACCCCCTGCAAAATTCTGACCTTCTATTTCAGAATTGAAATACCTTCTATACTCAAGATTATGTGGAGATAAGTTGAATGATTGCAGTTTTATATGAGGCTTGAAAAATTGAAGATGTGACCCTCATTGTTTGGTTTGTTCTGTTTCTCCAGCCCTTAGCTCATTCATGTTTGGAGCTTTAAGGAAATGGGAAAAGTCCTATTTTCCTATTACTCTTCCAAGGTTTGGCAGCTAGGAAGGACTATACTGGATCAAAGTATGTTCTTTCTTAAGCAAATATGCATTTATTCAAAGGAGATCATATATTTGTCCAAATGCAGGAATTAGAAATAATGACCTGATTTGAGGAATGAGGTTTTGTTTTTTCAGTGTAATTCTATTTTTTGTGCAATAATGCAAATGGGCTTGTGCTTTAAAAAAAAAAAAAAAAAAGCAAAAACCCAACAAACCAGTGGCTATCAACTGTAATGCCTTTCATAAGCAGTATTGCTTTCTGAAACTTATAAATTAACAAAACATCACTATTATATGGTATATGGAGATGTGCCAATCATAGGATGGTTTTCTATAATCATCTTGTTTGATAGTGTTGTGCAATTCATGGAAAACTACCAAGATAAATAAGGTTGAGCAGCTATTTTTTTTTATTATTAAGATATAATTCACATGCTGTAAAACTCACCATTTTAAACTGAACAATTCAGTAAGTTTCTATCTTACTCCCAAGACTGTAGCTGTAACCTCTAATTCCAGAACATCTGTTTGTTTGTTTATTATTCGTTTATTTATGAATAAAAATTTAGAAGTAGACTTATCCCAAACCCAGGCCATGCCATGAGTCAATGTCTTTGGCCCTTCCATGATTTCTTGCCTTTGGGAAGGAAAGGTTAAGTGCTGTGGGAGCTTTGGTGGTTAGGTGAGATCCAGGCTTTGAGCTTCTTCCCTAATTGGGGCTCACGTGTGCGAGGTAAATTACATTATTTACCCACTGCTATTTAATCGATTCTGACTCATAGTGCCCCAATAGGAATGAAGTAGACCTGCCCGTTAGGGTTTCTGAGGCTGTAAATCTTTATGAAAGCAGTCAGCCACATCTTTTTCCCTCAAAAGATGGTGGGTTTGAAATGCCTGCCCTGCTCTGCTACACTCCATTTTCATCATTCTTAGCCAGGTGACTTCCTTTGTCGTTGAGACATGAGGAGATGTGATGAGTGCCGTTTCTGAGCAGAGACTGTAGGAACCTGGTTTGCCATGATTTTCTCTCTTGTCTCTGTCATTGTGATGACCTCTCATTATACAATGTTTGATAAGGGATTGGGGCACTTCTCTCCCAAAAGGGGTGTTTGAAAGGCACACCATAGCAATTCTGACTTGCTGGGAAAATGTTCACCTGTTGCTGGCCAGTTGATTCAGCCTCAGAAATCCTATAGGAAACAGCTTCCAAGGCTGTAATCTTTACTGAAGCCTAGTGGTACATCTTTGTTCCTGCAGAATGACTGGTGGGCTCAAACTTTTGAACCTTTCAGCTAGCAGCAGGAAGCTGAGTGCTTAACCACTGTGCCATCAGGGCTCTCTGAGAAGCTGTTCTGAGGCTCATCGCACCTTTGAGATGGGGAGAGTGTTGTTTGATTGAGACTCTAGGAAATAATCTCCTTACCACCCCAAAAAAGAAACCTGTACCTACTTTTTTGTCCCTATGGATCGGCTGGGTTCTGTACATTTCATACTCTATGTGACTGACTTCACTTAATCCTCTTAAACTTCAACCATGTTTTAGCATGTATCAATACTTCATTACTATGGCTGAATAATTTATTTTATGGTATAACCTATTTTGTTTATGCATTCATCAGTTATTGGGCATTTGGACTGTCTAATTTTTGGTTATCTTAAATAACTGCTGTGAGTATTCATGGACACTTTTTCATGTGAGCATATTTTCAATTCTTATGTTAATATTAGAACACACCCGGGGGGTGGGGGGACAGAAGAAAATAATGACCTGGGATTAGGTAAAGGTTCTTGGCTGTGATGCCAAAAATACACACACACACACACACACACACACACACACAGTTAATCAAAATTAAGAATTCTTCTAAAGTTGCTGTATGGGAATGAAAATATAAAGAACAGAATGGAAGAAAATATTTTTAAATGTATCTAGCAAAGGTCTTATCGAATAAACAACTCCCAGAAGTCAGTAAGAAACAACCCAATAAAAAAATTCAATAGATGCTTTCCTAAACTTCTTTGAAATGATTGATGAGCAAATGATGGTTAACACTGTTAGTTATTAAGGGAATGCAAAAAAAAATTTTTTTTATTTTTTTATTTTTGCAAACTGACAATACCTAATGCAAGTGAGGATGTGGAGTGACTGAAAGTTGTACTTTATTGGTGAGAATACAAAATAGTATGGCCATGTTAAAAACTCCATTGGAAAAACATTGTTTCATGAAAGTTAAATATATATTACCATATCATAACTTAGCCACCACCCTCGTATGTGTTAATAAATGAAATGAAAATTTAGGTTCCTACAAAACTTATATACACATATAGAACTTTCTCAAAATGTTTGAAATTATATAGGTGAGTTAATTGGGAAATAGTGTTGATTTAAAGCTGTTTTTCATAAGTTACTGTTAAGTGCCATTGAGTCAGTTCTGACGTACAGAGACTCTAGAGTTTCTGAGATTGTAAATCTTAGTGAGAACAGAAAGCCCCATCTTTTCTCCTGTGGAGCAACTGGTGCAATTGAACCACTGACTTTGTGGTTCTCAGTCCAGTGCTTATCCTACAGAGTCACTTGACTCCTGTTTTTCATATAGATAGGAAATGAGTCCCATAGTAAGTAAGTCATATTGTAAACTAGTAGTACAGTTTGGAGAATGAATTCAGCATCCCTGTTTTTTAGGATAGTGCTCTTTCTACTATACCATGCTTCCTCTCCTAGCCGAAGGGCCCTGTTTAAGATACAGTTGAATTAAGGAAAATACTATATGTTGTTCTTCTTCCTAGTATATCCTCAGTATACTTTTCTTTAAATATAGGACTGTCAAATGTGTATTTGAGCTATTGATTTATATAGATCCAGGGATTTGGTCAAAGATTTCTGCCACTTTTGATGCTTGGTATCCTAGAAATTTTTTTACATGCATATGGTTTGGATATATGTTTTTGGTCACTGTTTTTTAATATCCTCTACTTTAAGCTATGAAGAAGGACATCCCTCACACTCTGAAGCAGATCTCCTTCAGAGACAGACTTTTGCAGCTTCTCATCAGCTTCCTGGATATGCTACTACACCTCAGCCAACTGGTAACAATTCTTGTGAAATATACCATGAATCGGGGACCATTTAATGAACAATAAGGAAAAAAAATCATTTTCATGTGTGTGGTCATGAGTACCTGCAGGGTGTAATCATGACATGGAAAATGTTCAAATGAAAATGAAATCAAGAGCTTTGTCTTTTACTAATAGAGGCTATGTAGATAATCAATAGGTTGTAAATTTAGGGAGATGTTAGATTATAAATGTAATTGGTCAAATTGATACTTTTTTACAATTTCAAAATAAAATGTTTCAGGATTGTAGAATTTTTAATTTTCAGATAATTTTATATAGGACATATTTTTTCTTTGAGCTATATTTTATATTTAAATGTAGGTCTTTCTGGAATATTTGAAACTAATGTGAACAGTGCCACCACTAACACTAAAGAATCTTCAGTGATGAATTTTTCTGCTGTTGAACCCCAAACTGCTCAGGCTGCTTCTTCAGGAACTACTCTTTTACCACAATTCAGGGCTTCATCCTGGCAGACAGGTAATTTGTGTTAAAAATTCTGTTTTTAAGTCTTCCAAAACTACTGACCAAGAATACATGTTTTATAACCATATTAAGATAGTGTTGCTGAGAGTGATGTTAATTATTGATCTTGAATGATTTGTTTAGCATACAGATTGAGTAAGTATGGTGAAGGGATACAACTCTGAGCATGTTCTTCTCTTGATTTTCTAATTCCAGGTCTTTGTGCCTTTCATTATAATACTGTCTTTTTGAGTTGCCTGTTTAAATTTTCTATTCAAGTCTGTAACTTCCTCATTTTTTATTTTTATTTTTTTAAACTTTTTATTGTGAATTTGGTAAAAGGCTTACAGAGCAGATCATCAGTTTAACATTCAACAATTCATATGCTTTGCTTCATTCATTACATGGTTGCAATCCCCTCCATGTACCAACAGTTAATAGTATTTTTACTTCTATTTTACTTTTGCATTCCTATTGCATTCTTCCTTGTATCCTGCTACATTCATCTTTCCTCTGCTAATCTCCCTTTTGTATATTGCCTGCCATGTCACCGATGTTAATATGTGTGTACCCTCTATAGTTCGTGAATAATTTCCCCTCCCCCACCCATTAACCATCATCATATATTGTTTCTCTTATAAGAAAACCTTTTTTTTTTTTTTTTTTACTCTTTTACAACGTTGCTCTCATACGATGTTTGTCCTTTTGTGATTGAATAATTTTACTCAGCATAATGGAGCTCTGGTAATGTAGTGGTTATGAAGCAAGCTGCAAACCCTCAGGGTCAGCAGTTTGAAACTACCAGCTGTTCTGCGGGAGAAAGATGAGGCTTTCTGCTCCCATAAAGATTTACAGCCTTGGAAACCCTGTACAGGGTTGCTATGAGTCAGAACCGACTCCACGGCACATAACAACAACAACAATGTCCTCCAAGTTCAACCATGTTGTGAGGTGTTTCACAGATTCATCATTATTGTTCAACGTTGCATAGTATTCCATTGTGTGCATGTACTATAGGTGGTTTAATTATTCTTCTGCTAATAGGCATTTAGGCTGTCTCCATGTTTTTGGTAAGTCTCTTATAGACAGCATATTGAAGGATCTTGTTTTCTTAATTCATTTCTGCTCTTTATGTCTCTTGACTGATACATTTAATTCATTGACATTCAGTGTAATTATCAGAAGGTGTGAATTGATTGTTATTTTTCTGTGTGTGTTTTTTGTGGTGCTGTTGGATTCTTTGTTCCACATAATTCCCTATGCTGAGTTTATTTTGTTTATGGATTTGACTTTCATTTTCATTTCAGTTGTGTTAATGTTTACTAAGGAGTCCTGGTATAGTGCTACAGGATAATGCACTGAACCGCATGGTCGGTTTGAACTGCAATGTTGGCGGATCAAACTCACCAACTGCTCCTCGGAAACCCTACACAGGGTCACTATGAGTTGGAACCAATTCAACAGCACTTAACCTTTCTAACTTTCTTTTTTTTTTTTTAAATTTTAATGTGTAGAGCATTATTTTTCTTTGTGGTTACCCTGTAATTAATTTTTTCCCTGCTTAAAACAGTCTGTTTTATCTTGAAATCTGCTTGACTTCCTTGCCTTTTGGAAATTCTGTATCTACACTATTTCCTCTTTGCTTTGTAGTGAACTTTGTTATCCGTTGGTATCTCTGGTTTCCTATTTTCAGTCTTAAAAGGTTTGCTTTACTTTATATCTGGATTGAGTTCTGCGTGGTGCTGTTATGTATGTATAGTATCTCTGGTTGTTGTTTGCTGTTGTTGGTTCTCAGTTCAAAGAAATTGGTTCAAAGACCAACTTTATAGAAAATACTGGTTCTGGTTCAAAGACCAACTTTACATAAAGTTCTGGTTCAAAGACCAACTTTACAAAAAATGCTCAGTTCAAAGCATTTTTGTAAAGTTGGTCTGGTTATTACAAATTCTTATAATTTCTGTTTATAGGAATTGTCATTTTGCCCATTGTATTTGGGGGACAGTTTTGCTGGGTATATGATTTTTTATTTTTTTTTTTATGTTTTATTGTGAATTATATGATAGTTTACATGAGAGAACTTTAGTTTTACATTCATTCCATCGTATATTGTTTCATTGCCATGGTTCCAGTCCCCTCCATGCATCATCAAC